TAAAGCAGCACCATCAGCCAATGGGAGGGGCAGAGGGGCAGCTGCAGAGGAGGGTGGCACAGTGGATTGACCCGCTAGTTGATCAGACTGAAGCAGGAGCTGGTCCCATAAGAGTTTGCACAGGCGGTTCTCTCAATTTTTTCTCGCCTGCTTTGTAAAGGCCTGGCAATGGCCACATTTATTGGTCCTGTGTCCTTCTCCAAGACAAAGAAGACACAGGTCATGCAGATCAGTAGGAGACATCTTAGATCCACACTGAGAGCACTTGCGGAAAGCTGCATGCTGAGCCATCGAGAATGAAAAAGAGAAGATACTGAAGCTAAGAATGTAAGAGAGAAAACCTTTGGGGGTGGGGGTAACAGGGAAAAAAGGGGATGGGGGAATGTGAAGAAAACTTCTAAACAGGGAGGGTAATAACTTGGAATCTTAACAAGAAGCTAAGAGAAACAGTGGTTTAGGGAGAACAAGATACACAATATAGTTACAAACTGAGAGACGAAATGCTCCAGGCTCAGCGAACAGCGGTCGCAAGAAGACTGAGGAAATGGCAGGCACTCCGCCTTCTTATACTGTGGGGGAGGAGGGGTGCGGAGTTCCCTCCAAAACTGTTAAGCTTTTGAATCTTCCCGGCTATAGGCACTGCGCAGGCACAGAACCCATATGTGTGATGCACAGAGGCCACAACGAAGAAGGGGAATTGCTACCTGAAGTCCAGCACTGCAACAGCCTGTTGGCTCCTTTTGCAGTTTTACATGAAATACTCTAGGATGAAAAGTACTCCTTTCCCTGTCAAGGTTCAGTCAGAAAGTGAAAACAGATTCTGGTCACCTCCCTTTTGCCAGTTCATAGGCAGCCTTCCTCTGCTCACATCTGCTTTGCCCCTCTTCCCAACAAAGAGTTTCCCTCCTCAACAAGGGAGCCTGTCCAGACCACCCTTTCAATGAGCAATCCCTCCCCTGCCTTCTGCTGTCCATCAGGCAAGCCCAACCAGAGTTCTTAGAGATCTGAGTAGAGAAAGAGTGTGTCTCTCAGGGTCTGTCTCCTCCCATGGGCCTAAGCGAGGACTTCCAGCACCCCCTCCCCAAAGGCATTCTGTGTCAAAGCAGATTGGTGCAGCTTACAAAGGGATGGCCAATAGCTCAAGACAGACACAACAAACACTGGGAGACTCCAGCTCCGTAAAAGTAGCTTTCTCTCATTGCACAGAGTCCCACGGTGTGCCTCTTAAGAGCCTGGGGAGGGGGTCCTAGGTGACAGCAGAGTTATAAAAAAAGGCAGAAGAGATCATGAAAGCCTAGTTAAATAGCTACCCATGGCTCAGCAGTGGCTAGGGGAGCTGCATGGGGATATGATGATCCTGCGGACAAATGGGGAGAGGGGCTTTTTGCAGCCTCTCTCCAGGGCAGCAGGTTTCAACCAACTTTAAACTACATTACTGTGGAAACAATTCAGTACATTTTCCATAGCTAAGGACTACCTAAGAGATGGCAACATGCTGAATACTAAAATTCCAGGAAGATGCACATTCCAGCTGAATTGTACTAAACATTAATACATGGAAAGGATAGAGCCATTACAGAATACAGAGAGTATGCCTGATTTCAGACATTATGGGGCACAGTCCCCTAAATTTTCTTGAGCTTTTACAACTAACAAACTTGATATTTTCCTAACATGGTACATCAATATATTGAGCAAGTATGCTACTCCAGATAGCCCTTCATTCACACTTAGGGTTGCTGAGGGGCTCCCACAGAAAAAGGGAACTGGAAAAGCAACCATGAGTGAGCAGAACCCTCTGGACAATTATTTGCATCTTATTCGCTAGCATGGCTGGAAACTTCACAAGCAGCTCCAAGAATAGTACTTTAATCTCAGTGGTAACTCACAAATCCACCAGCCAATCTTGATATCCATTACTAAAACTGACACACACACACACAGTGGAAGTATTGAGCACTTCCCATCTTAGAATAGCATAATTCCACATAGTGGTTATGCTTTAGATTTCTTACAGAGATCTGTGCAGACATTAAAACAGGCAACAAATAAATAAAGGGGTAAAGGTGGATAACACCTGCTGGTTCTTTCCACACATTTACCTGAGAATATTTATAGGGTATCTGTATACCACAACACTCATAGGATACCTGTCACACATGGGCCCTTGTGCACAAGCTCTATGCACTGTTTGGAAGTCAGAGGCAGGCGCAGCACCTGCAGTCTCCTCACACATTCCTTTTTGCACGGTCTGACCATCAGTAGAAGGCTTCTGCAGTTTAGCTAGATACCATTAGAGAACATGTAACTTTTATTCATATGTGATTTTTTAAAAAGATGTGTAAAGATATAAGAGTCAGTAACAGAAAGAAAAGATAAACTAAGAAAGAGAGACTATCGCATATATTAATAGATTTGGCAGAGAGCTAGAAGCCACAAAAACAGATGCCATGCAGAAAATAGCACCATTATATTGTTATGCTTTAAAATTTCCTGCATGTTTTACGGAGAGGTCCTAGTAAAGCCAAAAGCCATTTTTTATGTGACATAGTGACGAACCCATTAAAGCCAGAGCTGCAAAAACATCATTAAGTTTTTTGAAAGTGAAATCAGCTCCATACGCTATGCTTTTTATCTAAAGGGATGCAAAGGCACAGAGGAAAAACATACATGGCTATGCGCACTGCCACATAGAGTACACATGTGAACTACACTGGCTTTCTAGTATATTTACATGCAATCAATATTAATAACAATGAATTTGGTTTAAATCTTAAAACCAATCTTATGGAAAAGGAAGTGGTTTAAATTAGATTTTTAAAGCATTTTGAGTACCACCCACTTGCATTATGGGTAAAATGTGCAAGATTCTGATAAAACTTAATAAAAGCATGCTTTCCCCCCACTATTGCCTGCATGCGCTCATTATCTGGGAAGCATGACAGAAACATAAAGAGAAATAAGCAAACTGTGTTCCCCTCCTGTACTTCCATCCAGCCTCTTAGCAAACAATCCTGTTCAATGTTCGAACACAAAACATGGCAGCCTGGGGAATGCTGAGAGTTACAGGAATTCATTCTATCTAAACATGCACAGGACTGCATACTGAATGATTTAAATCACTGTGACTGAAATCACTCTGCCCTGCACACAATAAAACAGGAATGTACAAAAGCTTCATAAGTGACTGAACACTTTCCCACATCAAGCAACTGAGTCATAGAAACTACTAAAATATCCTCAGCTGATGAACCAATTTTCCTTATTGGGCAATTCCTTCAAGGCTGTGGGTATAGCAACTAATTAAAATAATAGAAGTGAGAACAAAAGTGATCCACAGCATAGAAAAATGCATTTTTAGCCCAGGTTGTTTGACATTGTATAAAGAGCTGCAATCCAGAGATTTACAACCAATTAAGCAGGAAATGCAGCACCTCTGGTTTTTCTCACCTATTTCTTCCATGGTGCTTTTATCTTGAACTTGCAAGGAAAAACTAGCAAGCATTAAGATTGTACTAACATCAACACAATGTGCACTTAAAGGCTGCTTTCAGGTAACACTCAAGTTGCCCCATTCTAGAGAGCTGCAGTTTCCAATCCGATTTCAAGGTCAGCCCCACATATATCTAGTTACAGTAGCTGGCAGATGTTAAAGCAGAGGCCCAGGGGCCAAATCCAGCTCTCTGTGGGTCTGAGCGCCCCATAATGCTGTACACTGCTCTCCTGGCCCCACCTGCTTTCCACTGGCCACCAACTGTTCAGTGAGTTCCTGGTTTTTGTGCAGTTTCCCTGCTTAAAGATCAGGCTGCTTCTCCTAAGGCTTAGTTACTGGCAGAAAGAGATTTAAGCTAAAGCAGCCTGGTATTTTTGGCCATATGCCTTGTCCAGGTCCCCTTTGTCTTTGGCTCTATCGATCACTTGCACGTGTGCCCCAGCAGTTCTCTGAAATGGAATTCAGCCATTGCTCTGTTGAAGGAGGTTCTGGGCCCCTGCAGTTGCCCATTGTATGTACATCCTGTGCATGAACATGCCTCCAGAAAAAAAAGGGAGCTGGAAAATTAGGAAAAACTGAAAGAACATGATGTATTGAGTGACCCTGCTTTTTCTAAAAAAGAAGAAGATAACTACATGTAACATCTAGAAGATGAACTCCCCACTCTCACTCTCCTTCAAGACCCAGCTTTGTAACTCCAATCTGATTGCTACTTCATTCCATCTTCTTTTTGTTGGTCTAATCCCAGCTGCAACTTTTAAAATGTGAAAATACTTGCACTCTAAGAAATGTTTGCATTTTCCCATTATCCAATTTTGGCAAAAGAGCCACCCTGAGTCAGTGTCTGGCCAGCAACTACATGCCACTAATCCTATCTAATGTTAAGGATTTCTGTATCAGGGAGTGTTAAAAATAATTATATGTTAATCCTCTTTTATCCTTACTACAGAAACTCAAACACACTGACCTGGTTGTTGTGCACAAGCACACAGTCCTCCGAATTAGTTGACAATGTAGAACATCAGTCTCTTAGCCCAGCTGAGGACTAGATACCTAAAATCAAGAACAGAGTGAGTTTAAATATATTTAAATACAGAGTAAATACAGAGTAAAATATATTTCTAAGGAGTTTATAAGGATCAATCTCGAATTAATTTCAGGAAGAGGAAATCTTTTTAGGCTGCAATCCTATGCAAGTTTAGAAAGAAAAATGTCCTACAAATTCCATAATTTCCCAACCAGAATGAGACTGTTTTCATGCTTTCAGTAATTGTTGAGGGAAAAAATCAGACTAGACATGTTGAACTTCATAGAAACAGAGCGAGTCAGAAGGGGTCTCCCGGGCCATCTAGTCTGACCTCTGGCTCCATCCAGCTCCACTCATGACATGCCTATCACATGCATGTCCAGCCTATTCTTAAACACCCTCACCGATGGGGCTTCAACTACCTCCTGTAGAAGCCCATTCCATACCCAGGGGTCCTAATCATCAGGAAGTGCATCCTAGCATCCACCTTGAATCTTGGCTCCCTGAGCTTTGCTCCACTGAAACACATCCTGCCCTCCACCACAGGAGATAAAAGGTCACAACCCAACTCTGGGTGACACCCCCTCACATACTTGTATGTCTCCCTCTGAGTCTCCTCTTTTCAAAGCTGAAGAGACCCAGTTCCCTCAGTCTCTCCTCATACAGCTTACCCTGCAAACCAACCACCATCCTTGTGGCTCTTCGCTGCACCAATTCCAACCTTGCTATCTTGTAATGAGGGACCCAGAACTGAACACAATACTCCAGCTGTGGGTGCACCAGAGTTGTATAGCGAGGCAGTAATACCTCTCTCACTTCTGGCTATGCATCTAGGGAGGCATTCACCCTCTTGACTGCTGTGTCACACTGCTGACTCATGTTTAGCCTGCAGTCAACCAGCACCCCGAGATCCTTTTCACAAGTGCTGCTCTCCAGCCACTTGTCCCCTAACCTGTGCTTATGACACCCATTCCTATGCCTCAAGTGCAAGACCTTGCACTTATCCTCATTGAACACCATCCTGTTGTCCCTGGCTCACTTCCATAGTCTGTCCAGATCCTTTTGGAGCCAGAGAACTTGCTCCTCAGTTGTAGCCACTGCCCCATTTTAGTATCACCTACAAAATTTGATCAGCAACTGATCACCCCCTCTTCCAGGTCATTGATTAAAAGGTTGAACAGCCGTCCCAAAATGCCAAGGCATGTGGTGACGGGATATAACATTTTTAAATAAATAATAATAAAAACAGGATCAGTCCCAGGACAGAGTCCTGGGGAACCCTGCTCATCACCAACTGCCATCTCAAAGATTCGCCACTAATAGTTACCCTCTGCTTTTGTTCCGTCAACCATGCCCTAATCCAATGGACAGTGCATCGGTCTATCTCAAAACTCAGTTTCTCAACCAGGATATCATGCAGCACTTTATCAAACACCTTACTGAAATCCAGGTAAACCACATCGACTGTGTCCCTTCCATCTAGACACTCCAAAACCTTGTCATAGGTTCATCTGGCAGGCCTGTTTTTGCAGAAGCCATGTTGCATGGCCGCCAACCTCCCTTCCCTATCTAGGGACTCCAGAGCCTTTCCTATTATGAACCTTTCCATTGTCATTTCCAGAATGGACGTAAGGCTAACCGGCCTGTAATTCCTCATGTCCCCTCTACTACCCTTTTTGAAGATTGGGACTACTGATGCCACCCTCCAGTCCTCTGCAACCTCACCCATTCTCCGCGAGGCCCCAAAAATGGAGGCCAGGGTACCCATGCCAACTCCCTATGTACCCTCAGGTGTAATCCATCAGGGCCTGGAGCCTTTGTAATGTCCTGTGCCCTGAGGAGCTGCTTGACTTCTAGAGGGGTAATTCTAAACTGTGCCCCAAAATCCCCAGCCTCATTTGATCCCCCATGTGGTTCTCCCCCATCCTGCTTTGGGGAGAACACAAATTGAGCAAATTTGACCTTCAATTGATGAAAGTTGACCCTCATTAAGTCCCAGCTTCTAATATTTCACCTGCCACTCATCTCCATTCCCCTCATCTCAAAGCAAAGGATGGAATGATCACTTGCTTCCAGAGCTCCCCTAATCTATACCCCATGTATCAACTCCTCCCTGTTGGTCATGACCACATCAAGGATATTTCCCCCCCTTGTTGCCTCTCAGAACCTCTGTGTGAAAAACCCTCCCTTTATAGCATCTAGGAAGTGGCAAGACCTGGCTGTTGCCACTGAGTGAGTCTCCCAACTAATATCCGAGAGATTGAAATCTCCCATAATTACTGTGTCCCTCCCCCAAGATATCCTTAAAGTCTGGTCTGTCAGGACACCATCCAGGGTCTCAAATTGACATGGAGGGCGATAACATACCCCCACTGTCAGGTGCCTTTCCCTGTCAAAACCCCTACGTTTCACCCAGACTGCCTCTACCAAATCCCCATCTGTGCTGCATTCTATCTCACTGCATCCTATCCCTTCCCTGACGTATAAAGCCACACCCCCACCCCTCTTTCCCTTCCTGTCCTTTCTAAGCAGGTGATACCCCTCTATGTTTACATTCCAGTCTTGCCTTTCATCCCACCAAGTTTCCGTGATGCCCACCAGATCATATCCTCCTATTCCCAGGGAAGCCTCAAGTCTTCCTGCTTATTACCCATGTTCCTAGCATTGGTATACATGCATCTCAACACCTTCCCACAAATCCCTTTCTTTGGGTTCCTCAGCCTCCTCCTTCCTCGCAGATACCAGCACCCTCTTTGCAGAAGTCCCACTAGTCCCTTCATTACCTCTAACACCCTGGACCCAAAATCCTGGCCTGTCTGAGTTCCCAGATCCAATTCAGCAGTTCCTCGGATGGCCACATCCACTTTTCTTAGATCCTGAGGCACAGTGAACTGTAGTTGAAAGTGAACTGACAAAATGGCAGGCACATGCCTATTTATATTGCGGCAGGGCGGGGGAGGAGGAGGTTTGGTTTCCACCAAAAAAATGTTAAGCTAGGAGAATCTTCCTGAACTAGGGCACTAAGCAGTATAGTAGTGATATGTGTGATACACAGAGACCACAAAGAAAAACCTGTCCTGCATAAGTTTTAGCAACTCTTCTCAACTCCAAGGAAGGACTTGAGAAACTGACAGAAGTAGCTGGTCAGTCATTTTCCTGTGAACTGCAAGATGAAATTATTAGTTTTCACACCGTATTTTATGGTTTATTTCATGTGGAAAGTATTGATATAAATCTTCTATTGCTTTTTGCAAAAGCAGAAAAGTACATTATAGCTGGCACTAATATTTCAGACTGTACTCATCTCTGTTTTATGAATGTAACTATAAAATGTGACTAATCCAAATTTTGTGAGAGAATCTTGCTTATAGTAGTTGTGGTGTGAACATCTTTTTCATGATGGGTCAGCACTCTGATAGTCATACTTCTAGAAAATTTCCCAAACCAAAGTTTGGTTCACAAACAACCTGTAATCATAATTCTGATTTGGCCTTAGATGGAATATACAATATTCTCCTCTTCAGCATAACACTGGGTATGTGGGAAGGGTATACATCTGTATACATCAGATGTGAATACTCATGGACATTTATTTATTTATTAAAAGCTTTTATATGCTGTCCTTTATATAACTAATGTCTATATTATTACCTATTATCTATACTTATGCTGAGAAGACATAATCAAAAGGGCTTCTCTAGGACAAAAGACATATTCACTTCATACATGACAATGTTCACATACATATTTATGCATTACATTTTTATATACTGCCCAATACCTGAAGCTCTCTGCTAGTGAGGATTTCTCCCCTTCATATTCTCCTAGGTAACTAGCAAATAATGTGTGAAGAGTCCATAAATGAATAAATATTTGAATTTATCATAATTCTTAAAAGATTCAAAAAGCAAGATCAAATTTCTTAGTTATGATAAGAGAAACTGCATTTTTATCTCCATTACCCCCATATTCAGTAGGGTATCTTATTGTATTACTATATGTAAGAAAAGATGTAAAAATCACGCACAATAAGAATTCCTTCTCTGAAAAATTTCTTGTCCTTTTACAACTGACATATATTCTATAATGCATGAGATGGAAAAGTAGGTTGCACCAGGATCCTGAAAATCTTTAAAAAAGTATCCTCATCAGCTGATAATTGTTCAGGGTTTAACAGTGAATAAATTTTCAGAAAGACGGCAATGGTAATAACAGAGGTCACATGGCTTAGTTGCTTGCCTCAGCTTAAGGAGCAGATGGTTACGTATTAGCATCTGAATAAGGCCATGGAGTTGAGAATGGAGGGCTGGAGGAACGCATTAAGTGCACTAAGGGAAATATACTTTTCTCCCCTCAAAAGTTGCTGACTTAAGAGCTATTTAACAAGTCTTTATACGCAGGTACTTGGATTTTACCTAAACGAAAGTAAATATTAAGGCTAGAAAAATGTTATCTGACATGATAATCATCACTGGAAAACAATGGTAATGTGATTCCTCAAAAGTGGATCACATCGCTCTGCTCCCAGACTTCATCTCTCAAGCTACCTTTGTTGATTCCTCAGAAGTAGTGACATGATCAATATGACTGCATGCTCTTTCTTGCTAGCCTTCAATTCATGTCTAAGGTCAGGTCTCTGAACTGCATTATGAACCTTTAAATGCATGCATGTGCGCACGCCCCCCCCCCCCACTTCTCTTTCCCTCTTCTGCAAAATCTAAATTAGCAACGGCACACCTGGTAGTATGCACTGGGGTACCCAAGTCTAGAACTTCCATTAAGGCCTAGTTCCCTCAGGAACTGAGCAACTTTTATGTGGAGTATACAACTTCAATTTGTTGAAGGCATCATGTAAATAAATGGTCCTCATTACCAATCATCATCATCATCATCATCATCATCATCATCATCATCATCATCTTGAACATGGAAAGCCAGTGTGTTGGGAAAGAGGTGCTCTACTTTAGCTTCCTTGATAGGCTGCTTTTTCTAATGTGAAAGACTTTTTTACTGAATTGAATTTTTAAAGGAATATAAGCCCTGCACCTGCAATCTGAAGTGGTATAGCTCAGCCACAGATTTACCACATCATTGAATACTAGGCCAACACTGCAAGCTCAGAAGGGGGAAACAGATGGCTTGTACCATACATGAACAATGAACAATGTCACCAGCCTATTCAGCAACATGGTAGAGGAGGCTTGTGTAGGCTGGCAGGCAGAGGGCTCCAGCAAATAAACAGAAGGTGCGGGCAGTGGGGGAGGGCTTTGGCTGGGGGACAGGTGGCTTGGATCTGTCAGTGGAGGCTGGCTAGCACATCCAATGTCAGTAGGGTGGTATAGCCACTCCAGAATTTAGTGTGCGCCCATGTGTGCACGAGAGAGAATGTTCAGCACCATGGGTAGTTCCTTTAAATTTCAGACTGGAGCCAGGAGACACCAGGGACTGCTGGGCCCAGTCCTGTTCACAATATACGAGTATGTGTGGGGAGCTAGCAGTATCTACTCCCTTGCACGGTTAGATGCAGTCCATTAAAGGTTATTTGCAAGTTAAAATGCAAAGGCTTTAGTTGCACAGTACCAAAGCATTAGAAAACCCTTCTCTACATATTATCTTGATCATGTGATTGCCTCTTACTGCACACACAGCTAT